GCAGAGTCTCTGCCACTGAGCCAGGGTCTCAGGTCAAGGTCTTTCCCATCACCTCCTGCCTGGTCCTTTTAGCTGGAGATGCCAGGGACTGAACCTGGGACCTTCTGCATGCCAAGCAGAGGCTCTGCCACTGAGCCAGGGTCTCAGGTCAAGGTCTTTCTCATCACCTCCTGCCTGGTCCTTTTAACTGGAGATGGCGGGGATTGAACCTTGGACCTTCTGCATGCCAAGCAGAGGCTCTGCCCCTGAGCCAGGGTCTCCGGTCAAGGTCTTTCTCATCACCTCCTGCCTGGTCCTTTTAAACTGGAGATGCCGGGGATTGAACCTGGGACCTTCCGCATGCCAAGCAGAGGCTCTGCCACTCACTGAGCCAGGGTCTCAGGACAAGGTCTTTCTTATCACCTCCTGCCTGGTCCTTTTAAACTGGAGATGCCGGGGATTGAACCTGGGACCTTCTGCATGCCAAGCAGAGGCTCTGCCACTGAGCCAGGGTCTCAGGTCAAGGTCTTTCTCATCACCTCCTGCCTGGTCCTTTGAACTGGAGATGCTGGGGATTGAACCTGGGACCTTCTGCATGCCAAGCAGAGGCTCTACCACTGAGCCAGGGTCTCAGGTCAAGGTCTTTCCCATCACCTCCTGCCTGGTCCTTTGAACTGGAGATGCCGGGGATTGAACCTTGGACCTTCTGCATGCCAAGCAGAGGCTCTGCCACTGAGCCAGGGTCTCAGGTCAAGGCCTTTCTCATCTCCTCCTGCCTGGTCCTTTTAACTGGAGATCTCAGAAGCTTAGCAGTATCAGCCCTAGTTAGTCCTTGTATGGGAGACCACCAAGGAAGTCCAGGGTTGCTATGCAGGGGCAGGCAAGGGCAAACCACCTCTGTTCTTCTCTGCCCTGACCTGGATGGCCCAGGCTCGCCTGATCTCATCAGATCTTGGAAGCCAAGCAGGGTTGGTCCTGGCTAGTATTTGGAGGGGAGACCACCAAGGAAGTCCAGGGCCACTACGCAGAGGTAGGCCATGGCAAACCACCTCTGAATGCCTCGTGGCTCGGAAATCCTGCGGGGTTGCCACAAATTGGCTGCGACTTGACAGCAAAAAAGAAAAGTGGTGGAGCTGTAAGATCAGGACAAGAAACTTGGATCTCCGTCTTTTCCGTTTCAAAACCTGGCTGGGCTCAAGTCGCTCACTGAAGGCTGGAACGGAAGGACGTTATCTGAACCGGTCCTCCTTAGCACTGAGACGGCTCTCTTCACCCAATCTTCTTCCGCCAGCTGCTCCATACTGGTCCAAAAAGCCCCAGAGCCATATCTACGGGCCGGGAGAGAATGTGCGCCTGCCCTGCGAGGCCTACGGGAAACCCAGACCGGAGGTGGAGTGGAGAATAAACGGGATTCCGCTAAAAAGTGAGTGAGCGGGCGGGCGGGGAATTTTCGAGGTAAGGCGACGCGGCTCCTGAACCTCCAACTTCCCCTCCTGTGCCTGAATTCTTGGTTGGGTTTCAGATCTGCCGCCGGACCCGAGGAGGTTGCAGCAACGCGGAGCCCTTATCCTCAGCCAGGTGGAGCCCAACGATACCGCTGTGATCCAGTGCCACGCCCACAACAAACATGGCAGCCTCTTGGCCAACGCCTACATCTACGTAGTCCGTGAGTGCCTCTGTTTATCTCGGGTCAGAGCGGGGCCAGGGAAGGTCGGCTTCAGAGGTCGGAAAGGTGGCTGCTGAAGGGCCCGTCGCTACAACAGGGCTGTTAATCTCGCTTAAAATGATGGGATGCTTGGGGGAGGGTGTCAGGGACCCCTCTGAGCAAACGTTTGGCTTGCATAGTCTGACTTTTCCAGGTAAAAGGGGAGGTCACTGAAGGTGACCTGGAGCTGGCATGGAAAGCTGTTGCCATGGGGCTGGGGGGGGGACCGGACCCTTCAGAGGTATTGCAGGCCCCTTCTCTGAATTTTCAGCTTTCATTACAAGGGAGGTATTGCAGGCCCCTTCTCTGAATTTTCGGCTTTCATTACAAGGGGGAGGATCTCTCCCTGATCAGTACAAGAGGGAGGATCTCTCCCTCGAAGGCCGTTTAGAGGCGGGAGTGAGAGTGGTGTGCCCCAGTGCCTCAAATTGGAGAGCCAGTTTGGTGTAGTGGTTAAGAGCGCAGGCTCTAATCTGGGAGAACCGGGTTTGAGTCCCCACTTCTCCACTTGCAGATGCTGGTGTGACCTTGGGTCAGTCACAAGTTCTCTCAGAGCTGTTCTCGAAGGAGCAGTTCTTGAAGGAGCTCTCTCAGCCGGTATCTGTTCTGGTGTCTGTTGTGGGGAGGGGAAGGGAAAGGAGTTTGTAAGCCGCTCTGAGACTCCTTTGGGTAGTGAAGGGTGGGGTATAAATCCAATCTCTTCCTCCTCCTCTTCTTCTTCATCAACCCCCCCCCAAGCCCCCCAGTGGCCTGCCAACACGTTCTGTTTATCCATCTGAGCCACATGGGTGTGTTGTACTGGACAGAGTGGCGGACTAGGACTGAGCAGCTCAGGTTTGGATCCCTGTGACTTGCATCTGTGGATAACTAAATCTGCAAATCAGGGCCATGTGGAGCCTAAAGAGATTTTTCAGCAAACCCGGGGCACTCCCCAAGTGTGCAGAAAAATCACATATAAGAAAAATACATGGGATTGAAATCCCCCCTGTATAGCTTCTGCCCTCACGCCTGTCCAGGAATGAGGGGCAAGCCTATACTTTTCAGTACATTAAACAATAACACCCAGAAAGGTAGGCTACACTCTCTGGATGCCTAACATCTTTGCCACCAGGAATCTCTAAACTTAATCCCTCACCAGCCTGAGATTAGAGACTCCAGAATCTCAGTTGGCATCTGGGATTTAACACATTAGCAACTCAATCCAGAGCTGTGCAGCTAATCTTACCAAGCTAGCGCAATTTGGTGAGCAGAAGGCACAGGAGTTTAGCCTTGAGATCTCAGTTACAACAATACAGACACATTAACAATAGAAATAGTTTTATTCAGTACAGAACTTAGCAATTAGACTAATAAGGATTTCAAAACAAGAAAACTTATGGCTCTTGGCCCTCACTAAACATTAAAGAGATCTACATAATTACCAGAGATTATCTATAGTCCAAGATTGTCCAGGGTTATAGTCCAGGTACCATCTTTGTGCAAGCATGCAGCCATGTGCTCAGCCTCACAAAGGAGTTCTTTGTCTCTCCCTGAGACAGCATTACCCAGGTGCAGTTCAACCAAGTAGAGAGAGCAAGGAAAATCTGAGCTCTCTTCCAAGGGGCAGACAATTAAAAAACCCAATCTAGTCGCAAATTAGCCCTGACCAGGAGCCAATTGGAGTAGACATAGGAGTGTCCAGTTGTTGAGTTGCCATGGGTGCAACACCTGAATGGCTAGAGCTCTGAAGGCCACACCTGCAGTCATGTGACCCCCAAATTCCAGCTAGTCTATGGGCTACGTGCCTTCTGACATGCTTCGGCTACGTGAGCTTCTCTGACATGCTTGGCAGAGCCATCTGGTCTCTGTCAGCATGGAAGTGTGAAGAATGTGGGGTTATATGGCAGGGCTATTGAGGCCATTTGACTTCAACAGGAACAAGGCACAGCATGATATCAGCAAGACATTCCAGGGGAAGACATGAAACCTTTAGAAATCAATATTTCTATACACACACACCCCCATAAATACCCCCTGGAAAGTTGCTCCCCTTGGCTGTGGCGGTGGAGGAGGACTCAATGAAGCTGATGGGCAGTAGGTTCAGGACGGACAAAAGGAAAGACTACTTTACACAGAGAGTTTTTAAAGTGGGATTCACTGCCAGAGAATGTCGTGATGGCCACAGGAATAAATGGTTTTCAAAGGGAATTAGATTCGTGGGGAATAAGTCTATCAATGGCTACTAGCCATGGTGACTGAGGGGAACCTCCACATTCAGAGGCACAAAAACTCTGAATCCAAGAGCTAGTAGGCAACATCAGGGGAAGACCTTGTCCACCATGATCTATTGTTGGCCTTCCAGAGGAACTGGTTGGCCACTGTGTGAGACGGGATGCTGGACTGCTGGTCTGATCCAGCAGGGCTCTTCTGATGTTCTTATGAAGGTCTTGGTCTCTCTGCCCTGTCATTGGCCCTCCAGAGGAACTGATTGGCCACTGTGTGAGACAGACTGCTGGACTGCTGGTCTGACCCAGCAGGGCTCTTCTGATGTTCTTCTCAGGGGAAGGCCTCGGCCTCTCTGCCCTGTTGATGTCCCTCCAGAGGAACTGATTCGCCACAGCGTGAGACAGGAGGCTGCACTAGAGGGACCTCTGGTCTGATCCAGCGGGGCTCTTCTGATGTTCTTATGACCCTGGCTGCTGCTTCCGGTAGGCTTACCAAGTCCCCCCGGGGGCGGGGAACCCCCCGCCCCAGAGGCCCGTTCCCCGCCGGCGGTGGATCGGGCCCCGGGGGGAATTCCACCCCGACGTGCACGTCACCAGGAAGTGAGGCGACCACGCCGGGCACACTGGGGGCGGGGCCACAGTCATCTGAGGGAAAACTCTATGGTTTTCCCTCGATTGGTCGTGGCCCCACCCCCAGCGTGCCCAGCGTCGTCATGTCACTTCCTGGTGACGTAGATGGGATCGACCTGGCAACCCTAGCTTCCGGCCTGACAGCAGCGGACACTGGCAGCCGCTGTGGGCCTGGGATCAAGAGACTGGACACTAACAGTTTCTCCACACCCGAGTGCAGTGGCGGCAGGCACAAGCAGCTGCTGTGGCTTGGGCGTGGCAGCAGCAAACGCTGGCTGCCAGGCCCAGTGTCCGTTGTGGGCTCAGCAATGGGGTGTGTGTGAATATGGGATATGGGATTCCCCCCCTTGTGAGTCTGACGGGCCTTCCCTTGCTTCTCTATTGTTAGTAATTAAAACTTTTATTTCCTGCCTTTCCTTGTGGTTCAAGGCGGCTTACAATAATAGTTAAAAACAGGGCTCTTTTTGTAGAAAAAGCCCTGTCATTAGCATAACAGGCCACACCCAACAGCAGAAACTCATTCGCATATTAGGCCACACCCCTGATAGTACAGCTAATTAGCATATTAGGCCGCACCCCCATTTCACCAGAAGTGTGGTCATCCAGCCACACCCACCTTTCCCTTCTTATTCTGTTTACCTTGTTTGTTGTCCAAACCCAGGGCCTTTTTTTTTGTAGCAGGGACTCCTTTGCATGTTAGGCCACACACCCCTAATGTAGCCAATCCTAATGAGTTTCTGCTGTTGGGTGTGGCCTACTATGCTAATGCGTTCCTGCTGGGCGTGGCCAACTCAGGAGCCAGCCGTAACTCCGTTCCTGTGCGTTCCTGCCCAAAAATAGCCCTGGTTAAAAACATTTTCGGTTTTTTAAGAAATAGCAAACCCCACGTCTGTCCCCGCTTCCCAAGATGTCTGCCATTCAAACTCCCTCAACAGCCCTGGCAAGCAAGCAGGCCAGTGTCCAAGGAAGGGCTCTCCTTCACCTCTTCAGGGAGTCCATTCCACAGGGCCAGGTAGGGTTCCCAGCCCCCCCCCGCCTCTGATCTGGCTGACTGGTGGGGGGGACTTACTGACAGGAGAAGCAGACCTAGTTCGCTGTTGCTGGCGTCATAGCAATGTCATTTCTGGAATGTTCTCGAAATGAGAGAAGGAGAAGAGATTGGATTTATACCCTGCCCTTCACTCGGCGTCTCAGAGCGGCTTACAATCTCCTTTCCCTTCCTCTCCCCACAGCAGACACCCTGTGAGGGAGGTGGGGCTGAGAGAGCTCTTTCGAGACCGGCCCTTGAGAGAACAGCTCTGAGAGAACTTGTGCCTGACCCAAGGTCACGCCAGCTGCTGCACATGGAGGAGTGGGGAATCAAACCCGGTTCTCCAGGTTAGAGTCCTCCACTCTCAACCACTACACCAAACTGGCCGGCGTAATCGCATTGCTGGCGCTGTGGTGACACCCTGATATTTGGGCAGAAGCTCTGTTGTTGAAGCCATTTTTACCACAGCATTTTTGTCCAAATACCAGAATATCACTGCAGTGCCCGTGAAGCAACAATGTCACTCCCAGTGCACTCTGGAAGTGTCATCACTGCATTACCTGTGACGAGGTCTATACCTCCCTCCTGCTCCCGGTCAGTCCCATCCCACCAGGTGCCAGGAGGGACAACCAGAGCTGAAACGGAAAATGCCCAGCCTCTGGTCACTGCCGGATGGACCCCCCGCCCCCCAAGTGGTGGGGTAGTCAAGAGACGGCTGCCTGGCGACCCTAGTTGGCTCACAGGGACGTATGGAAGGAGATGGTCCTTTAGGTTTCCCCAGTGTGTAGCTACGGGGCTGGTTCAGTGTGCTTTTGGATTCTCCCCGAAGCGGTAGGGGTTTAGTCGGTGGGTTGGAACCAGCTGTTTGTTTAGCTAGTGCCCTGTGCCAGACATCTGCTCGATTTCCTCCAGGCCTGCCAGCACAGATCCTGACCCCAGACGACATGAGCTACAGCGTGGTGGAGAACCAAACTGCCTTGTTGCACTGCAAAACCTTTGGGGCACCTGGACCCACGGTGAAATGGTGAGTTCTCCATTCCTAGCACTCATCCCGCTGTCAACTCACCCACCCCAAATGTGCCATGGCTCGCTTTGTCCTTAGTTTGTACCACCTCCGTATGTCATCTTTGTGTGCGTGTGTGTTTGTGCAAGGCTCTTTTTGTAGAAAAAGCCCAGCAGGAACTCATTAGCATAATTGGCCACACCCAACAGCAGAAACCCATTAGCATATTAGGCCACACCCCTGACAGCACAGCTCATGAGCACATGTTACCAGAAGTGTGCTCATCCAGCCACACCCACCTTTTGCTTCTTATTCTGTTTACCTTGTTTGTTGTCAAAACGGTCCAGGGCTTTTTTTGTAGCAGGAACTCCTTTGCATGTTAGGCCACACACCCCTAATGTAACCAATCCTAATGAGTTTCTGCTGTTGGGTGTGGCCTATTATGCTAATGAGTTCCTGCTGGGCGTGGCCAGCTTGGGAGCCAGCCGGAACTCTGTTCCTGTGCATTCCT